TTGTGTCTACTTGGCAAGTTTCATGTTGGTTGCACGCTGTTTCAAAGAAACTTGGGAGCCTGCGAGCGTGAAATTGGCCGTTCGCAATTTGGTTGGGCTTGTGCCCATCACCGCTCAAGTGTCAGGCATCCGTTTGTCAAGTCGCATGACTGCTCTTGCAGATGGGGCCATCTTGCAGGCCAGCAGGAGGGCTTCACTAGGCTTGAAGCAGCCTTTCGGATTGGATTCTTTGGGCTTGGGAGATCACGCTTTCAAGCCATGCCGATTCCAAGTTTCACAGCCATCCATCTCTGCGCTTGCGTTATTTGCAGTAGCTCGTAGCTTGAGCCACGTGGTTGTTCCTTGCAAAGTGAGCTGCCCTTTCAGATGGGGCCATCTTGGCTTGCAGGTTGCTAGGAGGCCGGGCTTCACTGGAGCAGCGATCAAACAACCCATGAAGAAACCCTAGTCTCGGGGCGCCAAATTCTTGGCGCCTAGAAGTATTCTGCTGCAGGAATGGGCATGGTTCCGGGCGCGGAAGCTCGTGGAAACTTCCGCTATTGCAAGCTTTGTTGCCGCGGAGGCAAAATTTCATGTCGCGGAAGGTTGCGGAAGCCCCTTGGCTTGCTAGCCCTACAACCCCTGTCAGGAGCTGCGATAGCACTGCCAGTCAACAAACGAATGCTTCAAGTACGTTTCCAGGCATTGCAGTTATGGAGTTTGGGACGTGTGAAGGTTGTCTGCAACATATACTTGTGCCATGTACTAAACAAGCTTATGTCGGTACAACCATGCATGACTCACCAGACCCCTGTGCGCAAAAGCTCTTAAACATATATAGGCTTGTTGGCAGCAGTGACGCCCTGCCACTCACCAGGATCCCTTCTCGATGGCCTTCAGGCAACTCAGCCAGCGCTCAGCAGGGTTGTCGCCCCACTTGACCTTCCTGTCGACCCTGTCGGTGGAGCGAAGAAAGACACGCCAGCATTTGTCTTTCCCGGACGTGTGAATCTTTCCCTGCTCATACCAGATTGTCGGTGCTCCTTCATCCGGCATCTCGGGCTGACAGCGCTTGGTGTGAACAACCTTGCTGGCACCTGTTTTGGCAACAGTTTTGGCAACAGTTTTGGTAACTGTCTTGGCTGACGCCGCCTTGGCCTTTGCCTGTGCCTTGCCTTTTGCCTTTGCTTTGCCCTTCGCCTTAGGGGCAGGCTTCTTGCCCTCATTAGCTTTCTTTCGGTCTGCGAGCGCTTTGAGGGGCTACGCTTCTTTGGGCCACGTTGGCTCATTAGAAATTAGCTCGAGCGTGAGCAAGCATCCATTTGCGGGCAAATGCAATGGCTGCTCTCATCTTGACTTGCAAGTTGTCAGGAGGTTGCGCTTATTTGGAGCCATGTCGATTCCAAGTCACAGCTGTCCATCTCCGTTGTCAGACTGAGACATGTGGTCGTTCCTTGCAACGTGATTGCGGATTTGGGAGCCCGCAGAATCACAGCTGGGGCCACGTCGGCTTGATAGAAACAAGCTTGAGTTTCCATCTATTTTCCAGTAAGTTCAATGACTTATCTTGCAGATGCGGCCATTTTGGCTTGCAGCTTGCCAGACTGCGGACGCACTACATATGTGCGGCGACTTGGAGATAATTTGGGCGTATGTGGAGTCTCGGGCACAGCTGGCAAGCAGAGCCTCAAGCTCTGGGCTCCAAGCCTAAGGGTTGTCCAGGCAGTCAAGAACACTCTGATTTGAGCTCGAAGTACGACCACTGCGCCACGTCGGCGACTTCTGCACCTGCTGCCTTCTAGCGCTGGCCAGCTCTCAACATGCAGGGCTTTGCCCGCTAGCTGGGCGCTTGGTTGAGTTGCAGAATTGTGCCCAACATGGGAGGCTACTGTCATAACTGCGCAAGCTAGCGCGTGGCCACCTTAGCATGCGCCCTGTTGGAGGGCCGATAAATCTAGCTGACGATGAGCGAGGCTTGCGCACGGTTTGCCGCGGTGTGTGCGGGTCATAAAGCTTGCAGCAGGCACTCACGTGACCTTCAGCGAAACCCTTTCCGACCCCTGGCAAGGCTGTTTGCCCTCCTTGATTTGCTTGGGACATGTGGGCAGCGCTGTCCTCGCAAGATGCAGGGTGCGCGCTAGAAGCTGGGCGCTTGGTTGAGTGGCAGATTTCCAACACGGCAGCTTTGGCTTGGTGTCCAAAATGGGAGGCTACGGTCATAACTGCGCAACTCAAAATGGAACGTGGGTCCATGCGCATGTCTCACACATTTTTCCTGTCTGATTTTCGCAAATTCTAGGCCACGAAATGGCTCTAGAATGTGGTGGAGTTTCTCTTGTGTAGACCGAACCCCTTCTCCACGTCCCAACTCAATGGATGCCGCCTGACTTTCGGTCGCTTCCAGGGCGCCCTTTGCACAACTCTTCCGCAGGGTCCAGTGTTGATACAAGTGTGGGCCCTTCGGACCCTGCCCCGGCATAAGGTTCCCCAAAACAAAGAAACTAAGACGCAACGATGGCAATCTAGCCGCTGCTTCAAAACGCAGGCTAGCCCCATTATGCATGTGCTGGCCAGAGTTTGTTTCTTCCGCATTGCTCCCCAACCTGCCTATACTAAGTCTGGTAATTCTATTGAGTTGACTTCTGGAGAGGAGGACCTCAGCGTCCCAGGCAGTGTTGTTTGGCAAGGTCACTGGGACATTGCGCCGTTTTGAGAACAATGCGGCGTATGTCTCGGCGAAAATCCGCTCGCAGGCGTCGCACTCGTTTCGCAGGCAAGAGCAGGCAGCCCAATAAATGCCAGCCCTAAGGGCATCCCAGCCTCGTATTGCCGCGCGGGCACATGCACACGCTTGCAGAGCCTTTCCTTGGATCTTGCCTGGTGAGCCGGCAGCGTCCCAGACTAACGGCGGACTTTGCACTTCGCTGGGCTTGAAGCAGCCTTGCACTTTGTTGGGGTCTTTGGCCTTGCAGAGCGGTTCCGCATACTTGGGGCCACACCGATTCCAAGTCACATTGCAACGCCAAGCTCGCGCTGGCCTGAGACACATGCTATCAGCTGTCGTCGCAAGCGCAACTTGAGTTGTTGTGGCTGATTCAACCAGCGGCTGTCAAGAGCAACGAGCTGGCCGCTGACACCCCCCTTGCAGCTGCGGCGCGAGCGAAGCGGTGGATATTCTTCGGTTCTATCCGGTGGACCAGTCCAATAATAGCAGCCACGGCTTTGCTTGCCTTCGCAAGTGAATGCTTGAGCGCATGAGCGCCACAGTAGCTGAGCACCAGCTTCAAAAGCAAGTTTCGCGAGGGTTTCGGCTGTGAGCAGCCACTTTGCAGACGATGCGCCTGCTTGAGCCCTGCCTGCGCCAAATGCTCAGGTATGGCAATTTAGTGTGCTGGCAGAAGAATTGCCCCGACGCTTCACACGCCAATCCTCAGTCGACTATTCAGGGCTCTTAGGTGCTATAGAACTTGGCCAGTGCTTGCACGCAAGAAGGCCTCTACTTCTGCTTGCAGTGCTAGCATGTCTGTTCCGGCGCCCACTTGCGCCAGCTCGCCAATGATAGGGCTTAAGAAAGGCATAAGAGGAAGAAGTGGGATAAAGTGAAACATGACGGAGATGCCTGTCAGGCGAGACTTCAAATCCGAACCCCTTGTCCTTCACACGAGCCCAACTCATTGGACGCTGCCCTGACTCTCGGTGGCTTCCCAGCCACCCATGCAAACCACTATTCCGCAGGGTCCATTCTGCGCTGTCCGAATCCTAGGTTACCCAGGCTTCGAGTCCCTGAAAAACAAACCTGAGAAGCGATGGCAATCTAGTTGCTGCTACATATGCTGGCCAGGGTTTGCTTTTTTCGCATTGGTCCCCCAGCTGCCGATGATAAGTTTGGTGAGTCTACTGAATTGAGTGCTTCGGGAGCTGTAGCGGCAGACAGTGTTGCTTGGCAAGGTCACTGGGACATTGCGCCATTTTGAGAACAACGCTGGAGCGTAAGTCCCGGCGGAAACGCCCACGCAATTGTTGGACATGCTTCAGAGCAGACGAGAGGCAACCCAGAGACGTTTGTTACGTTTGACCCTGGTCAAGCTACCAGCAGCAGACAGAGCAGACAACCGTAAGGCTGAGGACAGAACTCACAGACATTCCAAAGGCCAATTCATGCGGCTCTTGTGCTGGTGGCACACAAGCTCATGCCCGAGAGCTTGGAGGCTTTTCGGAAGGACGGGCACAAGCTGACGGTGTTCACCTTGTACTGACAATGCCATGTCATCACGTTTGGCAGAGCCACAACCACGAAAGTTGATTCACCAGGACTGACCAAGACAGGCCGTGCGCACATCGAGTTTCGGCCAATGATAGAAAGGTCGCGGCCTGACAGCCAGCGGGTGGACAGCAACGCTCGTTTGAACTTGCAGCTGGCTTGAGACATTTGGGCATTCCACACAAGCGAATGCCAATCGCACAGCGCTGCTTGCGCAGCTCTACTTGTAACGCTTTGCAGCCAGGTTCCAGGGGCCTCATGTCTATGCGTTTTGTGAGCTCCGCAAGCTTCGAGCCTCTCGTTCAAGTGGGGTTTGCAGAGTGACGGGCCGTAAACTTCGTCCTAAATCGAACACTGCGTTACGCGTTGGCCCTGCGCTGTATTTGGCTCACTTTCCGATGAGGTCATCTTCGCAATCCCCTAGCAGTGCGCCGGGACTCAACTGGCTGTTGAGATGGAACCTCACAACCCGCAGGCAACACATGCATGGCCTTGAATGCATTTCTGCCTATCCTGGTGTTCCTGCCATTAGACGCATCATGATGTGGCGCCATCAGTGTAGCCTGCTCAGCTCGATGCCGCGCTTGGCTTGCCAAGAGGCCTGCAGCCTGGTTGCGTTTGTTGGCCCTGTGTGCGTCAGCTGGTCCTGCCAAAGCTCCTCCTTGGCGGTCTTTTTCGTTTCGCACAGAGCATGAAGCGCTTGTCCTGAAAAGTGCCTCCTGGGACTTAGGTGTGGGCTATCTTGGCCTTCGCGGGAAGCATGCTTTGCATATCCGCGGATTTTGATGTTTGGAGTTGCTTCTGCCAATTTTTCGCTGGCACTGGTTGCAGCTTCACCTTGGGGAGGAGGCCGTTGCAAGATCCGTTGAGGCTGAGGCGCGCTCGCGACGTACTGACAGCGCATTTCCACACATCCAGAATCATACTGCCAGCAGCGGGAGATTCGTCAATCGTTGCAAGCACGGCGTTGCCAAGTCCAGATACTGAGTCATATTTGCAAACAATCCAAGTAGTCATGCGCTATGCTTTAGTAGTGTTGCATTGCACGGCTCGAGTGGAGACTTTGCACTCGAGAGATTTTGCGCAACTTGGCATATCTTTGGCATCTAAGCTCAGTTGGTTGCCTTTTGCCACTGGCAAACTGCACGGCAAAGCATGAATGCGCTAAGTTTTGCGGCTTGCTTAATGTCAACTTGCAGCTTTGCAGCCGAGAATGCTTTGGTGTCAGTGGCTTTATCCTTTGCCGTTTCTAACTTTGATTTGCACGCAAGAGCAATTTCTCAGTTCCCGGGCAACGAGTTGGGATGAGCCGCCAAGTTTTGCTCACGCGGTCGACTCAAGCAGCAAGGGCGACGTGAGTCACAGATCACAACAGGCTGTATGACAGCAGGTAGTGTCAGACAGCTTTGTACAGCCAGATGGTGAAAAGCGAGCAAACATGCTTTTGCCTTGCACCCCTACTTAGAACAAACGCGCCACCTGTTCCATTGGTGCGAGCGCTGGTCACCGGCGACGGGGAGTTAGTCTCGCCTTTGTTTGTGACCTTGACAAGTTGCTATCAACCTGAAGCGCAGCTTTTGTGGAATCGACATGGAGGAGCCAAAGGGTGATGCACATTCCTCCCCTTTACAAGGTAAGCATACTCCGGATGGACAATGTGGCCTGGATGGTTGCAACAGCGAGTAGCAATGCACGCAAGCGCCAAGCCGGCCTGCCGGCCTAGAAAACAGCAGCAATTTGTGAAGAATGAGCAGGGAGCGGGCGCTTCGGAATGAAGTTGAGGTCGGCTGAGTAAGTGGGTATGGGCATGGCTCGCAGAAGGAATGAGCCCATTTGTAACGACCGGAGGCTTTTGCATTGAAGTGGGTTTTGCCGTTGCGTGTCGCTGTGGCAGCCCTCGCGTGGCTACGGTTCCACCTGTGTTGTTCGTTGCATTCTCTGGCCCCTGGCTTTCGCAGTTCTCAATTTGGCTTCGGCCCTCAGGGCTCCTTTGTTGGACCATTGCTCAGCTGGACTGCAGACTCCTCAGACTCTTGACGTTCCCTGGCACTTTCCTCTCCTTAAAAGGCCTGGCGTTGGTGCGCCACGAGTCTACTTGGCAAATTCCATGCCAGGGGCACACTGTTTCGGAGGAAATTGGGGGCGCGCGGGGCTTGGTCAAGCGCGCAGCTCGAGTCTCAGTATGCATCCATTTCCCAGCAAGTCCAATGGCTGCTCTTGCAGAAGGGGCCATTGCAGTTTGCTGGCTCCTTTGGCCTTGCAGCGAGTTTGCCCTCATTTGGAGCCATGCCGATTCCAAGTCACAGCCGTGCATCCCGTGTACTTTTGCGTCGATTGGTTGCAAGCTGATATTAGCCTGAGCCATGTGGCTGTTCCTTGCCACGTGCGCATTTGCCAACCCTGGGGCCATGTTGGCTCGATACAAACTAGCTCAAGCGCCAGTAGGCATCCATTTTCCAGCAAGTCCACCGGCTGCTCTTGCAGAGGCCGTCTTGGCTTGCAGGTTGCCAGGAGGCGGGTGTAAAGATTCCTGGCTTCTTTGGTGCCCAGCGCTTCCAGGTGCTCGTTTAACTCAAAGTGCCCGTTTAACCAGCATTTTGTCAAGAGGCTGGATTTCAACAAAGTGAAAGGTGCGTGAGAAACCCGTGAAAGACCGTGAACACCTCGTGAAAACAGCGTAAAAAGACACCCTTCATTTACTCATGCTAGGGCTCCCAGTAAAGACAGCACCTTTATCAAACGTGCTCGTTTAACTTGTCCTTTGGACTTGCTGGGGGCATTGCGGGCAGGTTACGCTTATTTGCCCCATGCCGATTCGAGGTCACCCGTCCATCCGTGCTCGCTTGAGTTATTTGCAGTTGCAAGCTCATACCATCAGCGAGCCGTGCGGTTGTTCCTTGCCAGGCTCGCGCGCGCGGACTTAGGAGCCCGCAGAATCACAGAGCTGCCATACAAACTAGTTCGAGCGTCAGTGAGCGCCCAGTTCCCAGTACGTCCAATGGCTAGTTTTGCAGATGGGGGTATCTTGGCTTGCAGGTTGCCAAGAGGCAGGCTTAAGTGGGCTTGAAGCAGCCTTGCAGTGTGCAGGCTTCTTTGGCCTTGGAGGGAGGTTGCGCTTATTTGGAGCTATGACAGTTGCAAGTCACAGCGGTCCATCTCCCTTGCTTTGCAATGGCAAGCTTGAGCGAGCCGTCGCAGATGCAGCTATCAGCTCTTTCACAAACGCGGCTTGAGTTGTTGTTGCTGATTCAACCAGTGGCTGTCAAAAGCAACGATTTTGTTGCTGACACTCCGCTTGCAGCTGCGGCGCGAGCGAAGCAGCGGATATTCTTTGGATCTATAGTGGACGAGTCCAATAGCGGCCCCGGCTTTCCTTGCCTTTGCACGTGAATGCTTGAGCGCATGAGCGCCACAGTAGCTGAGCGCCACCTTCAAAAGCAAGTGCCGCAAAGCTTTCGGCTTTGAGCAGCCATTTTGCAGATGATGCGCCTTCTTGAGCCCTGCCTTGCCTGCGCAGCAAATGATCATGTATTGGAATCAATCTAATCTGCTGGCAGACGAATTGCCCCGACGCCTTGACAATTCGGGGGGGCTCTTGGGTGCTAAAGAACTTAGCCAGGGCTTGTTCACAAACAAGCCTCTACTTCCGGCAACGCTGGGTCCATGTTTTGCTTGGCTTGGCTTGCGGAGCTTGTCTGTCTGCTCCGGCGCCCACTTGCGCCAGCTCGCCAACACATAGGAAGGGGGAGAAGAGGGCTTTGGTTGTGAAGCATGTCGGGTGCGTGTCAAGCAAGACGGTCGAGAAATCAAATCCGAAGCCCTCGTCCTTCACATGAGCCTGGACGCTGCCCTGACTTTCGGTTGCTTGCCAGCCGCATGCAAGAGTATTCCGCATCCGTTGCCCAGGTTTCGGGCCCAAAACAAAGCATTTGAGAAGAATCAACATGGGGGCAAGTCCCATGCATATGCTGGCCAGGGTTTGTTTTTCTGCAGCCCCCAAGCTGCCAGTGACAGTCAAGTATATATGTCTGCTGAGTTGAGTGATTGTGTTGCTTGGCAAGGTCGCTGGGACATTGCGCCGTTTTGAGAACAACGCTGGGGCGTAAGTCGCGTCGGAATTGTCCGCGCAAGTCTCGCACCGGACACAGAGACTGGTTGTTACGTGCTAAAACGTTTCAGAACACTTCTTTGACCCATAGCCGAGGCACCAACAGCAGACAGAGCAGACAACCGCAAGGCTGAGCTTGCTGGGGCGCGAGCGACGCCAGAAGCATGTTGAACACGCTGCAGGACATATTTGTGCTTGAATCTCTTGCGGAAAAGACTGATGCTGGTGGAGCTTTCGCAACAGCCAAGATGTGATGACTTGCGTTTGCGTGGCATGCCAGCAGCATCCAAGATGCGCAGCCGTACGTGCCGCATCCCAAGTGCTGCGCTTGCCAAACATGTAGTTAGGACGCATTGTCAGCGGGTGCTCAGCCGTAAGTGCCGCATCCCAAGTGCTGCGCTCGCCACACGTGTAGTTGTGCTTCGGCACAGGCTGCGTTTGCCTGCGAGCTATAGGAAAGCCCTCGCGCAAGCAAAGATCTTGCGCTCGAGTGGCAGTGACGGCAGCTTCCAGAGAAAGAGCGCGCAGTGCAATCGGCATTTCGCTTTGTTTCGAGTTACGTATTTCGTTTGCCGCATGTGGCTTGGCCATGGAGAGTAACTCTGGTACTAGACAATGAGTCTTAGGACGGGAGTTCCCTAGGCGCCCAAAGCACACACCAACATCGGTGTTACAACCCAGCTTTTGGAGGTGGCAGAGCAGTCGGCGCACTGAAATGCTTCTGAAGCACAAGGAGAAAACACATATACACAATAGAAAGGACTAAAAACAGAACACAGGGGAGAGAAGCCTCAAACAAACAGAACTGCACACCAAACAGCTATATACCCTGATTATCCCGAAAGCGTTTATGAAAAAAAAGAGCCCAACCCTGCCCCCAAGCAGAGCTGCGCTGCAAGGAGGCGCGCTGCGCAGCACGGCTATGTTGAGATGGGCTTCGGCGCAAAACTAAGTTGAGATGCGCTGTGCAGCAAGGCTATGGTGAAATGCGCGGGGAAGCAGGGCTATGTTGTGCTTGGCAGCAAGGCTGTGGAGACGTGCTGTGAAGCACGACGCTAAGATGCGCTGCATTACGAGGAGATGCGCAGCGCAGCAAGGTCACGTTGAGATAGGCTATGTTGACATTTTTTTCCGCGGCAAGGCTATGCTGACACGCGGCGCAAAGCGGAAGGCCTAAGTGGAAGGCCTGTGCGCTGAACGAAGCTCTCGATCCCTTCCAAAGCCAAACTTTGTCTCCGGGCGACATTGACATTTTGACATGTGCTTGAAAATGATCTTTGTTGGCACAGGCCTTGCGCCCTGCATTTTCATGGCGAGCATGGCCAGCACAGCTGGTTTGTTCGCAACATATCACACAGTGCAGTGTGGTTTGCGCAAGTTACGGAATACCAAACATAAGATGAAGCCGTGTTCTGGCAATAATACTGACATTGGGCACGAACCGGCTTCAAAGTTATGCGAGCCCCGTGCTTGATGCTTGAGACATGGCCGAGACACTCTTGACCACCCTGCTTCGACGCCATGCTAACAAAGTGAGGTTAAGAAAACATGCACACATTATTGCGAGAAGATTGCGATTGCGTGCAGTATTGAGTACGGGCTGAGGCACTAGGCAGCTATCCTCGACCATACAAACAAAGGATGTTCATAGA